TAAAGTGGCAGTGTGGCGATTTACTTTGAATCTTTTGCTACTTATGTTTGTTTTTTGATCGTGCACCTGCCTTCAAGATTTTTCTAGATGTGCGCACATTTCTGTTTTTTGCATATAATAACTATGACATAAACTCTATTTGATCACATTAAATGTGTTTTATGGCATATGTTTAGCCATCGTCATTGTCACACGATCATTCAGAAACCATTATAATTTGGCTTATGGTAAAGGGTATGGTTTATCAGATTTGATATGCTCTGCAGTACTTCTGTGAACCCCAAGAGTCCTCTAACTCCCATTTGAAAACTCTAGCTGTAGTAGAATTTAATGCTCTAAACTCTGCTCTGCCCATTTCATTGAACCTTTCTCAAGTTCCCATGTGGTTATTTTGGATTAACGCCTGTGCCAGTTCATCTCTGCCTGGTGACAGGATCATTATCTTCCAGACCTTTGCAGGTACAGTTACAATTGAATCTATACTAGTGTTTTTTTGGATTGGCACAAGGACAGTAATGACCATGAGGAGACTAAGACATCACATTAGTGCCAGTAAGATATTTGTCATAGCCATAACCTTCCACTTGGAAAACCATCAGTTATGTTGCAAACATTGTACATTTAAACAAATGAATACAGTTGGCATAAAAAGCACGCAATTAACCAACAATCTGCTTTTACCTGCAATTCATTGTAGTGGAAACTGTATCAGAGTTAAGAGATCACCACGGATCTCAAGGACAGCTGTGAAAACAAAGATTAAAGATTCTTGCAGAGAAGCTTAGAGTAAAGAGCAACTAAGGCATTATTTATGGAAAAGATGCAAAACAATACTGAAGCATAAGGATTCAGATGTGCTCCAGTGAGCACAGCTGATTCAATTAGAAGGAGATGGAAGTGACATCAAACCACACAGACGTTGGCCAGGAAAGGTTGTCCTTCAAAACACTTTTAGTACTTAGACTTAGAATAGCATTTCAAATGTTTACTTCTTGAAATGAGCCGCATTGTTTTTTTTTTCTGCATAATTGAAGGGATGCAAGCCAAGAATGAAATTAGCTAACCTAAAAAATTGTTTAACTATAAATAGAAATATTTCAATGACAATCTAACAAAAGAACTGAAGTTTAAGATGAAAATATAAAAATAACAAAATAAAAATGCAAGTCTTAACTTGAATCCTTTCGATCTAAAGTTGCCTAAATGCAGAACTTCCATTTCTCTGCCAAAACTACTTGATATTTTTCAAACCTTAGATCAACAGATGCGTATTAGAACCCAACTTTGATTCATTTTTTTGCCATTCATACATAATGACATGGGACGGTACAAGATGGAAGTCAAACACTGAGGGAGAAAGCAGCTCATTAGTCTCTGCTTCCCTGAATCTTCAATTGTGTTACCAGATGCTGGGCCTCATCGCAAATCTCATCTTTAATCATTTAGAGAGCCACAACAGAGCCTCTATTTTGAACCGATTGTTTGGTGAGGAATTGCGTTTAATGCCACTCGCCCTGTCATCGCTGGTTTAGCAGAACTACAATGTTCAGGCGTCCTTATCAGCTCGGTCTCGCGGTCTTGAAGCGATCGTGACATTAGGTTGACAACATTTGGTTTCATCCACTCAACCCTGGCTGCAATGACAGCTTAGATGGGTGTCCCCTCTTGGGATAATGACACATTTGCTACTCAAGTGGATCGGGGCAAGTAAGGTACTTGGTAGAAAGGAGAGAAAAGCTTCACTAAAGCATGTCACCACATCTCTGTTTGGTTCCCGCCTTGTATCAGTGTGGATTTCAGGTCAGAGCGCTGAATGAAGTCTAGCTGTAAGAGCAAAGGAACACGGTGCACAGACTGGGGTAATTACCCTTTCCTGTCGAACAGCTCTCTGCTCAGATATATAGCCCTGTGTGTGTTGTATAAATATTATGGCCTTCAATCACAGCCCTGTGGATTCACTGCTGGAATCATTGGTCTAAACACTGTCTTCCAACCTGACCCTAAACGTTTTACGGTTGCACACAGTTTAGGTATGTTCTAAAGGTTGTGGAGCCACCAAAATGCACTCAAAGTCTTTAGGATCTCCAGAAATTGTTGAATTGATCTCATAATGCACACTTGAATAGTCGAATGGGGGTTATTTTAATGATGTGAAAGAAGTACCATTTTGAGAACTACCAATCATTTTTGTAACATTAAAAAAGTAAATATGAAATAATAATAAATATAAAAATATGTGTTTTGGATTCCCCAAAGATCATAATAATATTTTTGTTAGATGCAGAAGAATTAATGTTTTTGGGGTCACCAAAGAATGCTCTTCTGGATCAACCAAGTTGGAGTTTCAAAAGTGTGTAAAGCTTATAACTCAAGGACACATCCAAGAGTTTTACACCTGATATACATAATAAATAGGGAAATCAATATTACATTTTAACACCATAAAACATGACAATGAGCTAAAAAAAAACTATTACTGGTTCACTAAAATGTCAGTCAGATGTTCTCTGGCATCCTTGACCAATGAATTAGTTTTATGACCAAGCCTCACCCCTTTTTCACATTTAGTTGTTTTATATTATATTTTATGTTGACTTCATGTTGGCCTCTACATTGTCAAGAAACCTTTATAATAATGGCATGACATCATGAATATAAATGTTTTTACATTTACTATACAACTTCTGCTAGCTTACTTAGAATTGTCAAGTGTTATTTGGTTAGTTGTCAATTGTCATTTTAAATGCAAAGGTAACAATGATTCAGATATCTTTATGACAACTTGATATAACCAAATACATCATAACTTGTCTTTGTCAGGACAACTTGATTACCAAGACCACATAACTTGTCATAAATCTGTCATAAACATTACTGTCATGATGCCATTACATATTTTTAGTAGAGTAATTCATGTTTCCTAATTTTTTTCTATTATATTGAATTTGTCAATAAATGCCATTAAATATTAATGACCCTGTTTTTAAACTGTCACAAAGTAATTTCAGAAATTGCTATTTATTTTATTTGATTCATTTTGTTGTTTTAAATATTTCCAGAATATATTCATTGCAATAAGGTTTATGACGTATCTATGACAAAAAGTAGCGATGTGTCACGATAAGGGGAGAAAGGATATGAGGCGAGGACCCAAGTATAGAACTCAACTAGACTTAACTTGACTATGTTCTCAACAAAACACAGGGGTTTGATTACATCCAATAACTGTTGTAGACGAGACTTCAAACAGCAAATGAAATCAGAAAATCAGCAACAAACCAGCGCAGGACAGAGCACACCAGGAGAATAAATAGGGAAGACAAACCAATGAACAGACAGGCGGAGGGGTGAAAATTAAAATTATAAACAGAATAACAAGGTGGGTGGGACAAAACGCTAGACAAAAGAACAAATGGTACAAAAACACAACGCAAAACATGTGCTTGCATACAAACAGGACTAGAACATGTCGCCAATGAGAGAACTCATTGACCACATGCTCACATGAAACAAGACACTAAAGCACATGGTTACAATGTGCTACACAACACAAACACAACAAAACAAAAGACACAGGCACACAATAAATAAAGTTACTTACCCTGCGCTCGCATATGCAACGTGAATGTTCTTTCCCAGCGCCATCCAAAACCAAAACCAACTAGACTGAGACGCTGAGAATGAACATCACGCTGTAGACAAAACGAACACAAACACCAGGACAAGAGCGCGCATCCAGACCACATCCGGACCTTGCGCGCCTGTATCAAGTTGCAGTGTGCCATGGTCCGAGTGCAACCAGAACGGCACTCTTACAATGACAAGGACAAACAATGACGAGAAAGATGAGCGCTTAACCCAAGAAAAC